CCCCAGCCTGGTCGGACGAGCGCGCGTCCTCACCTGCTCATAGATTTCTATCGCCTTCTGGTACTGCTCCAGCTGCGCGGCGTAGGCAGCCACCTTCAGCAGACACTTGTTGGCCGAGCTGCAATCAACGGGAGCATTAAAGTAATTGTGTCCTGAGGGGGGAACAAACCAAATCCATACCCCGGTACCCCCAAGCGCTACCTGTACTACTTAGTGTGCCTAAAAGTGGGACCCAAAAGCCGCCAATGAGGGGAATTTTCTTTTTAGCAGCCAAAATTAAAACCCAGGGCAAGGCAGGAAGCCCTCCAGCTCAGCACAGAGCTGGCACCGGGCAGCGTTCAAGCCCTCCGCGCTCGCTCTGCGCCCAGAACGGGCACCCCACAGCAGACAAGCCTGCGTGCAGGACGAGAACCTCCACGAGAAACCTGCCCGAGTAGGACCTGGGCACCCCACCAAGGGACACCTCAGAGGAGGCCGGCAGGCGAGGAGCGCGCGCGTGGGCCACCCAGGCCGAGCCCCCGTCTGCGCCCTTCCCCGCCAGAGGCCCACTTGCCTGTTGGACTCCTCTCCTTTGTAATAGTCCGCAGCCTGCTCGTAGTGCGCGATCGCCTGGGGACAGAAACACCGCGCCTGAACGCCGCTGCGGAGGTACGGCTTTCGCTCAGGCCAGCCTGCAGCCACCACGCTCGCACAAGCTTTTCCGTTCCGCCGCGCGGCGGGGTGGAGGGAGGCGCAGCCACGCTCAAAACATGAGGCTGCCCGTGGAAATTTGCCCCTGGACTTGTTAAGAGCCCCCGAAGTCCAGTGCAGGTTTAACGCAGGTGACAATGACAACAAACGCTCACAAGGGCAGCGCGACAAGGCTTCGCCACCATAGAATGCATCGCTTAGGAGCGCAGCCCTGACAGAGCGGGGCTTGATTTAAGCGGGGTGCACGTGGAGAGGCAAGACTAGAGTCGTTAACAGAGGTAAGATAGGATCCAGTGGAGCTGAGGGAGCAAATGATTGTCTAGAAAATAAATAGTACCTGGAAACATTACATTTTTGTTTGGCAAGGTTGAAGCAGGAGATTTGCAGCCAGTCGAGCGGCTGCAGGATTCCCGCTCAGGAATCCATGGGTTATGGGAGCAAGAGAGGGTCGGTGCTGAGGGGGGCACCAAACGGTAACAGCAGCTTCTTTGGGTGCATCAGAGAACAGCCACAAAACCGCCCCCACGGCTTTCCCAAAGCGCTTTTCCGAGGTGAACCACCACGTCAGTGGCGAAGGTTTCTCACCTGGGCGTCTCTGCCCACCCCGCCGTGCTGCCGCTCAGCAGAGGGGCACCCGGAAGGGGCAGGATTGCCCCACGGGAGCGCCGTGCTGGGAACACCAACGCTCACCCCCCTAACACGAACTTC